CATTACAGTCACTGTCCATCAGCATAGTAAGATGCTATAGAATCATTACTGTGTCCCCACTACATTATGTGTGCTAATCATAATGCCCCCTTTCCCCCTTATCCCTCCCTTCCCACCCATCCTCCCCAGTTCCTTTCCCTTTAGTAACTGTTAGTCCATTCTTGGGTTCTGTGAGTCTGCAGCTGTTTTGTTCCTTCAGTTTTTTCTTCATTCTTATACTCCACACATGAGTGAAATCATTTGATACTTGTCTTTCTCTGCCTGGCTTATTTCACTGAGCATAATACCCTTTAGCTCCATCCATGTTGTTACAAATGGTAGGATTTGTTTTCTTCTTATGGGTGAATAATACTCCATTGTGTATATGTACCACATCTTCTTTATCCATTCATCTACTGATGGACACATAGGTTGCATCCATTTCTTGGCTATTGTAAATAGTGCTGCGATAAACATAGGGGTGCATGTCTTTTACAAACTGGGCTGCTGCATTCTTAGGGTAAATTGCTAGGAGTGGAATTCCTGGGTCAAATGGTATTTCTATTCTTAGTTTTTTGAGGAACCTCCATACTACTTTCCACAATGGTTGAACTCGTTTATATTCCCATCAGCAGTGTAGGAGGGTTCCTGGTCAATTAATATATGATAAAGGAGCCATGGATATACAATGCAGAAATGTCAGCATCTTCAACAGCTGGTGTTGGCAAAACTGGACAGCTACGTGTAAGAGAACGAAACTGGATTATTGTCTAACCCCACACACAAAAAAGTAAACTCAAAATGGATCAAAGACCTGAATGTAAAAACCATAAAACTCTTTAAAAAAATTAGGCAAAAATCTCTTGGACATAAACATGAGCAACTTCTTCATGAATGTGTCTCCCCAGGCAAGGGAAACAATAGCAAAAATGAACAAGTGGGACTATATCAAACTGAAAAGCTTCTGTACAGCAAAGGACAACATCAGTAGAACAAAAAGACATCCTACAGTACGGGGGAATATATTCATAAATGACATATCTGATAAGGGGTTGACATCCAAATTATATAAAGAGCTCACACACCTCAACAAACAAAAAGCAAATAATCCAATTAAAAAATGGGCAGAGGAGCTGAGCAGACACTTCTCCAAAGAAGAAATTCAGATGGCCAACAGACACATGAAAAGATACTCCACATAGCTAATCATCAGAGAAATGCAAATTAAAACCACAATGAGATATCACCTCAAACCAGTTAGGATGGCAAACATCCAAAAGACAAACAACAACAAATGTTAATTATTTTTTATTGACACAGGAATATAAGCACCTCAAGATAGTTCAGGAAAATTCAAAATATGTTTAACAAAACACAGCAGGTAGCAACTACTTTGGAATCAGAAAATAGTCTAGTTTAATATTGTTTATTACTTACAGAATACTGTAAGGAAATATGCTGTTATAATAAACTAGCCTCTCATTTCCCAAAGTTATGAAATGTTTATGAATGAAATATTACAGAATCCGGACATATAAACATGGTTATGTCAGAATAGAACATACTGCTACCACCCTGAGTTCTCAAAGGGAAAAGCCAACACTGCAGCAGCAGTGCTCTCCAAAACAATGTTTTTCTACTGAAAAAAAGAATAAGCAATATTTAATGAGCCCTTTCCTTGAATAAGTGTTACAATTTTAGCAATGCTTCCACCATTCACAAAAAGCCAACTCTTCAGTAAGCATTTGAAGAATTTCTGCATTCTTAGCTACACTTTATCTGCCTTTTACTATTTTTTTCACTGTCCAACTAGTGCTTGGTTTTATCATATTATAAATAAAATGTTTGGAGACACTCAACTGTAACGAATTTAGGCAGGAATAGTGGCCAATGTAGTACGTCTGGGTGGATTTATAGGAAAAAAAGCCTATGAGTGGGCTGGGGCATCTGTAAATAACTAGGAAACACAATTGGTTTGAAATCAGAGAGTTTTAATACCAGATACAAACTCGGTTGCTCCTTGCTGTGTCACTGGGAACAGTGCAGAGGTCTCTAGCCAGAGAACATGTGAGAAGGCAGGCTGCAGAGTGGAGAGCTGCGGGCAGCAGACAGCAGCGAGGGATGAATCCCCTCATCAGCCTTCACTACCTACTGAGTCTGTATTACATATTGTTCCAATCACACATCCACTGGATTAACAGGCTTCTATTTTTAAATATGAATGCACTCCAGTAGGAACAAGTTTATTTCTTATCCTAGTCCCAATTATTTATTTAGAATAGATCAACACCTTTTAGAAATTAAACTCTGGAGATATGAGGAATATTTTTTTATAAAATTTATTTTTATTTAAGAAACATATCTATTTCTTACTGAGCTAGGCTCTGCTCTAACCACTTTACAAATATTAAGGAGTGAAGAGAACAAGGTAGGGCTGAAGACATCTTGAGAGGACAGTGAAGGTAATGGGCACATGGGAAGGAAGGGATGATAGGATACTAGGAAAGAAAGACCCAGGAGGGAGATGTTTGGGTAAAAAACTGTCAGATTTTTAGAATTTTGCCTAAAGACCTAGAGACAGTCAAGCACAGAAACATTTCTGACAAGTTTTTGTCACTGCTGAAAATGGTACAAGGATAAATTCTAAAGACTATAACCATCAGCTTTCTTGATTCCAATTTAGTTCAGTCACCTTAGTTCACATTAACGTCTCTACTTTGATTCAGTATCTGACAGATTCACACTGCAAAGAGAAAGGATTTGGAAAATGCGTGAGTGACTTTCTAGATGCTGGTCCTTCAGAGCACTGTCATTTCTGCTTACTGTTTCAATTCCTACTTCCCTCCCAGGGCAACTATCTCTTATAACATGGACAAGCTCCACCTATTTTGGTTAACCCTGGGGAGCCCTTTACAAATAAGGAATTCTATTCTTTAGGGGTACATGGCTGTAGCAACAAGATGTATCCTTATCTTCAACTGCTTTTAACAAGTTTACTGGACATGGGAGAGCATGGTCCCATTGATGTCACTGCCTTGCCTGGAGCTTGGTCTCATCATTCCAGGCTCCAGCAAGGAGAACAGCGTACTTGTGGCATTTTTTTTCTACATTAATCAACTTGTATGGGTTTCCACACAAGAGAAAAACTCAATAAAGAGTGCTGAATGATTGGCTGAACATAGTCCATCAGTAAGAAAAGCTGGAAGAGTGAGGGCACAAATACAGGGCAAAGCGGGTCACAGCTAACACAAAATCATGGGTAGAGTCAATCAACAAAAATGTGGTCCAAAATAGATTGAATTTATTATTTTAGCTTAAAACTGTATCGAATATTTAGAAACAAACACATTTTCCTATGAATGTATTTTTATGAATCCCAATGTATAAAAATAATACAAGAGTGATATTTAGTAAGCTCAAACATCATGCAAATTGCTTGACAAAAACCAGTCAATCACTCTTGGCCATGAGCATTCTTTTGCATCCAGGAGTGGGATCTGAAGGGTAAAGGTACAGCTCTAGCTGTCGTTGCACTCCCTTAGGAGCAGCCCCACCTCCGGTTCGCCTAATGGCTGCTTCCAGGCACCTTTCACTGAGGGAGGGAAGGCCAGTCACAGACAGATGTGACCCTACTCTGCCAGGCTTTCCAGCTGATGAGAGACAGCGGCACTTCCACAGGCATTTCATGGGAGATACAATCTCTGTAGCAAATGCTACTTGGCTACACACACACACACACACACACACACAGTTGTCACTTTCTGGCCCCTTACCCCCTGCATTGCTTAACCTTTTTTTTTAGCACTAAAGCCACTTGAAAATTATATATTTATTTAGCTATTATCTGTACTCCTCCAACAGAATGTAAGGTCCATAAACTGGGACTTTATTTTGCTATTGGCTGTCATAGTAATGTCAGGAATACAAGCACATAAAAATCTGTTGAGTGAGTGGTCCTATTACTTCCCTCTTCATGTCTCCTAACTAAGCTATTTATATCATTAAGAGTTGATTTTCTTTTCTTTTCCAGCTACTGATGCCATTTTCTAATCTCTTTCCAGATTCTGTTTCAGTGTAATACTGGCAATTTTTAGAAAAGCAGTCTTGTGTATATGCTCATGTAGTCTTCTCACATATCTGTTTGTTAGAGTTGCTTTTTAAAAGATTATTCTTTTAACTCTTAAGGAATGACCATGTTTAATACTTCACAATCTTTGCTGTGAATATAATTCAAATATGTCATGTTAAATTGTGGAGGTTTAAAAATGACCTACAGTAAATACTGACTAACCGGAATGCTCAGAGAATGGAACCCAGCAATGCAATATGGTAAAAAAAATACTCTTCAGAAAAATATGTTACAAATCTTTGGAGTAAGTAATTCCCAGAACCCCTAAAGCACTTCAACTCTATAAACACCATTTCATAGTAGAAAGATGTTTTCCCTCTTAAAAATTTCTCAATTATTGTCTTAAACTTAGAGGTAAAGTTTAATTTTTGCTTTTATGTGTCATATTTTGTCATTGTCATGTTTTCCTCTCCCTTCTCTGCAAAATACCCCACTAATTCTAGTTTACAGAGAGATGTATGAGAGACATATGACCATTTCTTCCTGCCAGTTTTGTTTCAAGATATACTGAAAGAATTACAAGAGACTCTCTCTGACTCTTCCTTATAAATAGTAATTCACATCTTAATTTCAAACTAAGAGTAATTTTTTTCATCTTCAGAAAATATTCCATTGCAGAGAAGTGTGATTTAAATTAACTTAAGCTTGATTTTCTAAGCAGAAATACACTAAATTCTACTTTACCATGTACTTATTATTTTTATTATTTCCAAAAAGTATTTGAGAGAATACTTACACTGTTTCAAAGTATAATCTTAACATTATACATAGTTTTCAAGGTATGAAAAAAGGATACTTTAATTTTTCTGCAATTACTTGTCCACTCATAGATCAATCATTTACTACCAAGATTTCAACTAACAGATTCTAATTTAAAAAAATTTGACGTTACCTTTAAAGATTGTCTCTTAGTTACATAATTCTCAGACTGAAGTAATTTCTCATAGTCTTCAAAAGTCTAATTAAAAGAAAATAAATATTAGAGTGTAAAACCAACAGTGATTTCTATACATTAGTTTGCTTGCTCTCTTGCTTCAGAAGTAAATACTTGGCCTGCTAGGCCAGCTCAGCCCAGCTGCTGTGCTTTCTATCTCCATGTGCTTGACCCTGGGTTGATCACACTGTTCACCAGCTGGTTTCCCCATTCCCTTCCTCATTCACTCATAAAGACACCGGGGTCAGGGGGGTCAGGTGATAGAAGAGACATCTCTTTTATTTTAGTTCTGCAAATTAAGAACTGAGTAGAAACATGGAGTGTTTGAGCCCTCCCAATAAATCATTTTGAATAAAACATCTATTAAATCATTTATTAAATGAGTTGCAAAATAACTCATTTTATGCCATTTTAAAGAAACCTGTTTATGTAGCATTGCTGGTAACTATTAGTACATGAATAATTGGGGAAAAGATTAAACGCACTTAGGGATTCACTTGGCAACCCATAAAGAATCAAAGTTTTAAATTCATGGTGCAAACAGGCAGAGGCATGGGGCAACTTCTGCCACACAATGGCCATTCTAATTCCCACTGGCTTCTCTGGAACATTCCCACTCTATTCAGAAGCTGAGGGACACTGGTGCTTGAAGCCCCTGTTCTCCAATGTGGTCACCAGCCATTACCTAGATCCTTTAGTTTAACACAGAGTGCCATAAGCTAGGGAAGCTCAGCGTCAACCTCCCACCAATGTGTAGACACACCCCAGAGACCACTAAGGTGGTAGGAGCAAGCCAAGCAGAGAACTAAAGGCAACAGAGTTCAGGGACTAAGGAGGGTAGAAAACAGTCCTGGGTCCTCAGAGGGTCAAGTGTAAGGTATGAGTTAATGTGTGTGATGAGGGCAAGCACACTGACGATAATTATTAACAGAGAATTAAGAAGCTGAAATGTAGAAACAAATGTGTAGCTCATATTAAAGTCATGTAATATACTTTTTCACATGAAGGACTTACACTGTAGCTATTTTAATTGTCATGGAACAGGGGGAAGATTTTCTGGGCCATTTAATTTATCAGACAAACATTGTGGTTAAGTTTTTATTGTAACCAGAAAACACAAATACATGTATAAGGTATGACTGACTCCCCAAGCTACCAGTTTCATTATTTTAGAGTCATATATCATCTGTTCCAGTTTCACAGGTTCCTGCTAAAGAAATATGAAACTTAAGAAGTGTGAACTGTTTGAGGAAGCATGAGTTCTTAGAGCCAGCATTCAGTGCTGCAGGTACAGTGTCTATGAAACTACTAAGTTACACAAGAAATGACTATAGGTACAAACACAAAAAAGGCAAAAGGCAAATAAGGGGTCAAAGAGAATGAGTTTATAATCTCTCAAATTGTTGTGCACTATCCCTGATTGCAAAGCATTATTGCACAACATATTTACCTCATTCATTCTATCGAAAAGATTAGTAGTTGATACTATAGGTTTTGTCATAAGCTATCTTAGCTCTTTTATTTTCATCTGTTATAAATGTAACATCTAATGAGTCTTTAACATTCCATCTAGCATCTATAACCAAACAAGCAAGCTATAACAACATTTTATTTCTTAAATTCAAAAATATTTTCTTTTAGTTTTAAAGTTTTTGATACCTTATGCATATAAATAAAAATAAAGTCCCCCTTCTTATTTTCACTTGATTAAAGTATTCTAATTGATCCCATGGATATTATACTGATAATTTTAGGATATTGAAATCATGTTTGTTCATGATTATATTGCTAATCCTTAATTGTGAATCAAAGGAAGACCAGCAAACAATTTAAGAATAAATGAGACAGTGACTGCAATGGGGGTGGGAGGATTTGATAATATGGATGAATGAAACCACAATGTTATTCATGTGAAACCTTCATAAAATTATACATCAATGACACCTTAATTTAAAAAAAGAAAACTAAAAAAAGAATAAAAGAGACATAGTTCAATTTATGTGATTTGGATGTGTGAAGATAGAGGATACTGATAGGAAGGGTACTCCATGTTTTCCTTTTTCCTTTTATCTTTTTCCTTTTATCTTTTTGTGTGGCTAACTAGAAAATTTTAAATTACATAGTGATTTACATTATATTTCAACTGGACAAAACTGGTCTAGAGCAATGAACCAATGGAGCAAAACTTGTAAAGTTTTGCTTCTAGATTTACACCACCTTCCATTTTAATCATGTGGTTTCTATAGCTTATAGAGTGAGCAAAAGTATAGCTGCTCTATTTGCTCAACATTCATTGAACACCACCAAATGTATGGCATTGAGTTAGGTATTAGTGATATAAGTAGTAACAATAAAAATTAATACTGATACTATTCTAAAAACATTAAGTCTTGTCAAATTCCTATAACAACCCTATGAGGTAGGAATTATAATACCTTCATTTTGCAGTAGGTATAGTAACTTGCCCAGGGTAACACAATTGGTAAGAGGCAGAACCAGGTCCTGAAGCCCAAACAAGCAGACTCTAAAGACTGTACTGTGCTCTGAACCTCTGCGTTTGACACATAAGTTTCCTGCTTCTCAGGGAGCTCAGGAATGAGCCAGGAAGGTACAGACAGACCATAATACAATGTGAAAAATGAGAGAAAGAGAGAGAATGTGTGTGTGTGTGTGTGTGTGTGTGTGTGTGTGTGTGTGTGTGTGTGTATGTAGGGGTGGGATTAGGGAAAGCTACCTAGAGAGTCACATTTCAGTCAAATCTCAAAAGAATAATTCACCATTAGAGAAGACAGCTGGATGACAAAAATAAACTGGTATTTCTAATAGTAAGTAAAACTAATTATCCACCAAGAAAAAGTAAGAGGTGATTTTCCATTTGGGGTTACCTATTGTCTCTTAAAAGCAACATGGGTGCTCTTCAATGAAGATCAAAGCAAGCAGGTGCCAGTCATTTCTTGGAGATGCAGACATAACAGGAAGTGATGGGAAGAATGCAAAAGCCCTGACCACCTGGCATCAATTTCCCATGAAGTTTCCTGATGACCTGACTTCTGGGCAAACGGTTATACTGAGTACATGGTTGGCTATGCTGGTTTCTATTGTGGATCATAAATAGGAGTCAGTGCCCTTGGATCTAACAGAGAGATACAGAGCAAGAAAAGGAGAAAGAGAGAATAAGGTAAATCTTAAAAACAACTTCTACTTACAGTATCATAATTTTGTTCTAAGAAGTCAGCTACCAACACTTTATGTCTGGTTAGCAAATCCTAGAAAAAGAACAATCAAGGGAAACAAAATTATTACAGCTAATAAATTTTACAAGTCTGTCTTTTCCTTCTAAGATTTTAGATGTCCATTAATCTGAAATATAAAAATTCCATAAGAATATTTTCATTTACATCACAATATTATTTCCACTCTTAGCTTAAGATGTGAAATACAAGTTTGTTTCATATTAAAAACAACAGCATTTTAAATTCCTATCATTGTTAGGTTAATGATAGAAGTAATTGAATTGGTGAGACAAATGGCACCTAGGAGACAAGTTCACCATATATTTTCTCAAGTCATGACTCTACATTGTGATAATGATATAATAAATAGTACAATAAAGTTTATGATGATCTTTTTAAAGTGTCACTAATAACTAATCGTTTCTTTAAAAAAGATTGTGAATGGTCTAAAACCATGTCTCATGAGTAGACTGAGCAGATTTTCGAGGAATTAACCTCTATTTTTTTTTTCTTAACCACTTCTAAAATGAGGTGCCTAGGATGATGAGAAGCACAAGAATGAGTTTTTTTTTAAATTTTATTTTGGTATCATTAATCTACAATTACATGATGGACATTATGTTTACTAGGCTCCCCAGTTCACCAAGTCCTCCCCACATCCCCGTTCACAGTCACTGTCCATCAACATAGTAAGATGCTGTAAAATCACTACTTCTCTTCTCTGTGTTGCACAGCCCTCCCCGTGGCCCCCAAAAACTATACATGCTAATTGTAATGCCCCCTTTCTTTTTTTCCCACCCTTATCCCTCCCTTCCCACCCATACTTCCCAGTCCCTTTCCCTTTGGTAACTATTAGTCCATTCTTGGGTTCTGTGCTTCCGCTGCTGTTTTGTTCCTTCAGTTTTCCTTTGTTCTTATACTCCACATATGAGTGAAATAATTTGGTACTTGTCTTTCTCTGCCTGGCTTATTTCACTGAGCATAATACCCACTAGCTCCATCCATATTGTTGCAAATGCTAGGATCTATTTTTTTCTTATAGCTTAGTAATATTCCACCGTGTATATGTACCACACCTTCTTTATCCATTCATCTACTGATGGACATTTGGGTTGCTTCCATATCTTGGCTATTGTAAATAGTGCAGCGATAAACATAGGGGTGCATCTGTCTTTTTCAAACTGGAGTGCTGCATTCTTGGGGTAAATTCCTAGAAGTGGAATACCTGGGTCAAATGGAATTTCTATTTTGAGAATTTTGAGGAACGTCCATACTGCTTTCCACATTCCCACCAGCAGTGTAGGAGGGTTCCCCTTTCTCCAAAACCTCGCCAACATTTGTTGTTGTTTGTCTTTGGGATGGTAGCAATCCTTACTGGTGTGAGATGATATCCCATTGTGGTTTTAATATGCATTTCTCTGATGACAAGCGTTGTGGAGCATCTTTTCATGTGTCTGTTGGCCATCTGAATTTCTTCTATAGAGAACTGTCTATTCAGCTCTGCTGCCCATTTTTTAATTGGATTATTTGCTTTTTGATTGTTGAGGTGTGTGAGCTCTTTATATATTTTAGATGTCAACCCTTCATTGGATCTGTCATTTACAAATATATTCTCCCATTCTGTTGGATACCTTTTTGTTCTATTGATGGTGTCCTTTGCTTTACAGAAGCTTTTCAGCTTGATATAGTCCCATTTGTTCATTTTTGCATTTGTTTCCCTTGCCCAAGGAGATACGTTCAAGAAGAGGTCACTCACGTTTATGTCTAAGAGATTTTTGCCTATGCTCCTTTCCAAGAGTTTTATTGTTTCATGACTTACATTCAAGTCTTTGATCCATTTCGAATTTACTTTTGTGTATGGGGTTAGACAATGATCCAGTTTCATTCTCTTACATGTAGCTGTCCAGTTTTGCCAGCACCATCTGTTGAAGAGACTGTCATTTCTCCATTGTATGTCCTTGGCCCCTTTATTGAATATTAGTTGACCATATATGTTTGGGTTAATGTTTGGAGTCTCTATTCTGTTCCATTGGTCCGTGGCTCTGATCTTCTGCTAGTACCAAATTGTCTTGATTACTGTGGCTTTGTAGTAGAGCTTGAAGTTGGGGAGTGAGATCCCCCCCCTACTTTATTCTTCCTTCTCAGGATTGCTTTAGCTATTCGGAGTCTTTGGTGTTTCCATATGAATTTTTGAACTATTTGTTCCAGATCATTGAAGAAAGCTGTTGGTAATTTGATAGGGATTGCATCGAATCTGTATATTGCTTTGGGCAGGATGGCCATTTTGACGATATTAATTCTTCATAGCCAAGAGCATGGGATGAGTTTCTATTTGTGAGTGACCTCTTTACTTTCTCTTAAGAGTGTCTTATAGTTTTCAGGGTATAGGTCTTTCACTTCCTTGGTTAGGTTTATTTCTAGCTATTTTATTCTTTTTGATGCTATTGTGAATGGAATTGTCTTCCTGATTTCTCTCTCTATAAGTTTATTATCACTGTATAGGAAAGCCACAGATTTCTGGGTGTTAATTTTGTATCCTGCAACTTTGATGAATTCCGATATTAGCTCTAGTAGTTTCAGAGTGGAGTCTTTAGGGTTTTTTGTGTATGATATCATGTCATCGGCAAATAGTGACAGTTTAAATTCTTCTTTACCAATCTGGATTCCTTGTATTTCTTTGTTTTGTCTAATTGCTGTGGCTAGGACCTCCAGTACTATGTTGAATAACAGTGGGAATAGTGGGCATCCCTGTCTTGTTCCCGATTGCAGAGGAAAAGCTTTCAGCTTCTCGCTGTTCCGTATGGTGTTGGTGTAGGTTTATCATATATGGCCTATACTATGTTGAGGTACTTGCCCTCTACACCCATTTTGTTGAGAGTTTTTATTATGAATGGATGTTGAATTTTATTGAATGCTTTTTCAGTATCTATGGAGATGACCATGTGGTTTTTGTCTTTCTTTTTGTTGATGTGGTGGATGATGTTGATGGATTTTCGAATGTCGTACCATTCTTGCATCCCTGGGATGAATCCCACTTGGTCATGGTGTAATGATCGTATTGATGTATTTTTGAATTCAGTTTGCTAATATTTTGTTGAGTATTTTTGCATCTACGTTCATCAGGGATATTGGTCTGTAGTTTTCCTTTATGGTGGGGTCTTTGCCTGGTTTTCATATTAGGGTGATGTTGGCTTCATAGAACGACTTTGGGAGTATTCCCTACTCTTCTTTTTTTTGGAAAACTTTAAGGAGAATGGGTATTATGTCTTCTCTGTATGGCTGATAAAATTCTGAGGTAAATCCAACTGGCCCGGAGGTTTTGTTCTTTAGTATTTTTTTCTTTACCGCTTCAATTTCATTGCTGGTAATTTGTTTAGATTTTCTGTTTCTTTCTGGGTCAGTCTTGGAAGGTTGTATTTTTCTAGGAAGTTGTCCATTTCTCCTAGGTTTCCCAGCTTGTTAGCATATAGGTTTTCATAGTACTCTCTAATAATTCTTTGTATTTCTGTGGGGTCCGTCATGATTTTTCCTTTCTCGTTTCTGATTCTATTGATGTGTGTTGACTCTCTTTTCCTTTTAATAAGTCTGGCTAGAGGCTTATCTATTTTGTTTATTTTCTCAAAGAACTAGCTCTTGGTTTCATTGATTTTTGTTATTATTTTATTCTTCTCAATTTTATTTATTTCTTCTCTGATTTTTATTATGTCCCTCCTTCTGTTTACCTTAGGCCTCATTTGTTCTTCTTTTTCCAATTTCTATAATTGTGACATTAGACTATTCATTTGGGATTGTTCTTCCTTCTTTAAATATGCCTGGATTGCTATATACTTTCCTCTTAAGACTGCTTTTGCTCTATCCCACAGAAGTTGAGGCTTTGTGTTGCTGTTGTCATTTGTTTCCATATATTGCTGGATCTCCATTTTGATTTGGTCATTGATCCATTGATTATTTAGGAGCGTGTTGTTAAGCCTCCATGTGTTTGTTAGCCTTTTTGCTTTCTTTGTACAGTTTATTTCTAGTTTTATGCCTTTGTGGTCTGAAAAGTTGGTTGGTAGGATTTCAATCTTTTGGAATTTACTGAGGCTCTTTTTGTGGCCTAGTATGTGGTCTATTCTGGAGAATGTTCCATGTGCACTTGAGAAGAATGTGTATCCTGTTGCTTTTGGATGTAGAGTTCTATAGATGTCTATTAGGTCCATCTGTTCTAGTGTGTTGTTCAGTGCCTCTGTGTCCTTACTTATTTTCTG